AATTTCTTAATAAATTTTGGTGTACTATTAGCAAAACCTATACATAAACATATACTTCTTCTATCTCTGAAAACTCTTTATATTTTAATTTTTTTTGTCAAATATTAATTATTAACACTCTTTGACCAAAAATTTATACATAATCTAAATGAATAAATATGAAAATTTTATATAACAAAAATATATCCTAAGATGAATCCAATATACTAAATTTACACTATTATAAATCAATATTTTTTTTCTTATAATTTGTAGTCGAAGATTATCACTATATGACTAAAAAAATCAAAACAGGAAAAGTTTTCATGGATAGAGGGAAAACGCTCCGACCCAAATCCGGCGAAATTGACGGCGGGCACCAACTCCAATGCGGTCGTGGCATCCGGGCAACCTCCAAGGACCCCTCAATTGCAATATTTGATGAAGATTTGCAAAACCCCCAATTTTGGACCCAATTTCGAATTTTAGGGTTTTTTCGAGTAGAAAAATTCAGATTCGAGAAGTTACAGGCCAAATTAGACAAAATGGTTTGGATATTATTGATCCTCGTCTCAAGACGAAGAGAATGACATTGGTCCCGCCGGAATCGGAAAAAGTTCATTTTCCGGCGACTTTGACCGGCGGGGCGTGGAAGAAAAGAAAAGAAGAAATGGGGTCAAATTGAAAATTTTAAAATATATAAAATTCGAATTTGGCCCTAATGACCGAAAGTTAACCTAGAAACGGGTTAATGGCTCATTAGTGAAAGGATTGTGTAAGTTAAGGGATTTTTGTGAAAGGATTTGAAGTTCAGGTACCACTTCGAAATTCCAGCTAAAGTTCAGGTACCATTTGTGAAATTTACCCATTTTTTAAGGGATGTAGGGAGTAGCTCTAACTAAAATATAGAACGGGCCAGATATTGTTCATTATTCCCGATTCCCATTAGTCCAATTTCAATTTCTAGCGGCCCAGTTTACTAGTCCAAAATGTATAACCCCTATCCATCCTCATTCTCACTCCCAGATATTGCATGCTGAGAGAGATGAGGTTTTTATCAAGTCCAATGATGTCCTTGTCTCTAGAAAGCAGGTCCGGCCTCGAAAAATGAAAAAATAAAATTGGCTCAATCTAAAATTTATATTTTGGGTCTTATTTTATTTTTTTAGAATACTTATTTTTTAAAATAAAAGCCAAATTTTAAAATATGGGTCCCTAAAATTTTAGAGACCCTGTGATTGTCCACTTTGCACACCCTCCAGGAAGAGCTGGGAAGGAAGGTAATGCATCTTTAGTCCATTAGTCCAAATCTTTATGCAGTTATAGTTAATTAAATGTGAAGAATTTGTTTTCCAAACATTATTGGGAACATGCTTTTATTTACAAACATATATAGTTTCAATAATATGCAGCTTAATCCATAGGCTTAATTCATACTCGTATGAAAATACATACCTAAAAAAGTTTATCATATTTGTCAAATCTTAAATTTGCTGAGGGCACTGGGTATACATGTAACGCCTGGGGGCGTGAGGGGGCGTTTAACGCCCCGGGGGCATTAAACACCGCCCCCGGCGGCGTTACCCCGGCGTCATCGCCTATGCGTCTTTCGTTTGACGCGGCTCAGCCCTTCGTCATCCCTCCCCCAACGGTCCCCAACGGCTAATTT